TCTGATTTGAGAATATTATTCTCAGATACAAGATTGCTTTGACACTTGTTGTATTTGAGCTTAATATTGTTATAGCTTTTCAGAACTTCTGATAACACTTTGATAAGTTCTTCTTTAGTGAGTTTAGCCATTACCTCTTCAGCGTCAGAGTCAGATTCAGAGTCAGATTCAGATCCTGAAGTTCCTTCCTCTTGATCTTCTATGTCTGCCATCAAAGCTACATTAGGACATTCTTCTTCTGACTCAGATTCAGATTCAGATGTATCTGAATCATCCCAGGTGGCCATCAGAACCTTTTTCTTCTTATCAAATTTTCTTTTAGGCTTTTCTTTCAGCACCTTTGGACATTCATTTTTGTAATGTCCAGGTTCTTTACATTCATAACATACAACCTCCTTTTTGCCAGATCTTTTGTGTCCAGAAGATTCTTTTCTTTGGTCAGGCTTCCTGAAGTTTCTGAACTTCTTTCCTTTATGCTTCCAGAGTTTGTTTATTCTTCTGGACAGCATGGATAGTTCATCTTCATCTTCAGATGAGGATTCTTCAGAGCTTTCCTCTATTACCTGCAATGCTTTAGCAGATTTATTAGATTTTAAAGCAACAGATTTACCTTTCTTTTGAGGTTCATCTTCCTCAAGTTCAATTTCATGACTTCTTAGTGAACTGATCAGTTCCTCCAAGGAGATCTTGTTCAGATCTTTAGCCATCTTCAGCGCTGTCACCATAGGTCTCCATCTGGTAGGTAAGCTTCTGATGATCTTTTTCACATGATCGGCAGTAGAGTATCCTTTATCTAGAACCTTTAGTCCAGCTGTAAGTATTTGAAATCTGGAGAACATAGCTTCAACAGATTCAGAGTCTTCCATCTTGAAGGCTTCATACTTCTGGATCAGAGCCAGAGCCTTTGTTTCCTTGACTTGAGAGTTTCCCTCATGAGTCATCTTTAAGGATTCAAACATATCAAATGCAGTTTCCCTGTTTGTAATTTTTTCATACTCAGTGTGAGATATTGCATTCAACAATATTGTTCTGGCCTTGTGGTGATTTCTAAATTCTTTCTTCTGAGCATCTGTCATAAATTTTCTGTCTATTTTCTTGCCATTCCCATCAGTGGGATGAACATATCCATCTATGACCAGATCCCATAAATCAGCATCATATCCAAGGAAAAAACTTTCAATCCTGTCTTTCCAATAATCAAATTTCTCCCCATCAAACATAGGGGGTTTGGTGCTGATTTTGTCCCTTTCTTCATATTTGTTGTTAATGTTAGACATTGTATTATCAGCCATAGTAACAACCAAATATATATCAAAGTATTTCTCACTGGATCTTTACTGTCACTGTTAAGTGGTAGCACACACAGAACCGGAGCTCTGATGCCAACTGAAGGTGAGAAAATACTTAGAAGGGGGGTTGAAAAAGTATGAAGATTAAAACTTAGAAATAAAAACTCAAGTATTTGTATCCTGGTTCGTTGAACTCAACTACTCCAGTCCACCCTTCCTAGAGTGATTTGCCTTTCTCAATCAAGGACTTAATCCACTATTTAATCAACTGATTACAATAGTAAGCACTTAGAACAACTGTTCAAAGTCTTCTCAAGAACTACTGATCCTAAATGGATCTTCTTAAGGTTTACAATCAAATGTAATACAAATATAAGTGTTTAAGATTGCTTCTATAAAGCTTTATCACAACTGTGATTTTTCACTTAACTATTAAGAACAAAGAAATTAATTCTTAGAAAGAATATGAATAGCATGAGAGCTTGAATGTTGATTTCTTTTTGGATAAAACGTCAACTGAAGAAATTGGGTGAAGTCTTGCTTTTATAGGAAGCTGATCCAAGGTGAGCTTCACGTTGAGAAGAGTGTCCAAAAGGTCTGAGCCTTTTTGTCTTCACATCAAGTGACCTTTCCTAGAAGAAGAAAGCACAGAAAAATCCTTTTTGTCTGTGTTCTTGTGTCTAGCATAAATAAGGAAAGAGTCGTTTGGATCATTCCAACGGATATAATCTTTGAATAATTCTTCTTCAGTTTCAGCAAATTCATCAGAGTCTAATTAGATCAGAGCCTTCTGATGATGATCAGAGTTTTGCTGAATCAGAGTCTTCTGCAGCAGGTGTGCTTTTAGCGTGTTTAAGATCAGAGCATATTTGAGACAGATCTTCAGTACTGGCAGCTTTAGTACTTTCAGAATCTTCTGTAGTAACTATGCTTTGAAAAACTCTTCATACAAAATTCTTCTTTGGTTCAGATGCTTCTGACTCGCTTCAGATTCTTCTGGAGCTTCTGCTTCAGATCCTTCTGGAGCTTCTGCTTCAGAATCTTCTGGAGGCTACGCTCAGGATCTTCTGTTGGTAGCAATCAGAATCTTCTAATGGATGCATCTGGCACTTCAGAGTCTAGCTCATTTCTTATGTTCAATTTTGATTTGCTTCTGGAGTGTTAATTCCTTTACTATCTGCAGTAAAAACTCTCAAGCAAATTTTAGAGTATATAATTCTTAATTACAAAATTTCATAATAGTTATCATCAAAACATATAGATATTATTAAGAACCAATCTGTGTTCTAACACATGTTCCTGTAACCTCATCTTACTTGTCTACGTGTCTTGTTAGAACCATAACATGTTTAGAGTTTGTTTCTTGCCTTTGTAAATGCATGAATATGAATGTATGACTTGGAACTTCTCTGTGAATCCTTGTATGCTTCTTGATGTTGTAACCTCTTGAATATGACCCTCATACCCTATCTTGCTTGTTTATGTGTCTCGTTAGAACCATAACATGTTTAGGTTTCATTCTTGACTTGTTTGTTATCATGATTTTGTTTACATTCCTCTATGTGAAATTTTGATCCATGCTTGAACTGTTGTCACTCTTCTTGCTTATCCATGAATTATTGTCATCAATATGCCTTAAAAATGATTGAATGATGTCACATTTATCTTTGTTTGATTCATAAGTTGTAACTTGTATGATTGAGTTTTGTTTGGTTTACCATGGATGAACTTGTTGTTGTCACACATGTTTTCATGCTTGCTTTTGTTGGTTGTTACCTACATAATCTTTGAACTTTCCCATGATGTCTTGGCTTATGCTTGATGTTTGAAATATTTGGTCTTGTAAGAACTTTTGTTATCATCCCCCTTTAGATGTTGTTACATCTATGTTTGGAGGTACCCATTTGGTTTGATCCTTTCATTATACTTGGTTGTAACCTTGTTATGTTTATTTCATGTTGTTACATGTTGACCCTAATCTTTCTTGGTTGTTACCAAGACTATTATATCTTCATCATGTTTGAATGAATGTTTGTGTGCTTTAACTTTGTTAAGTTTTCCCCAAGTGATAGAACTTGTTAGTTCTCATCCAGTTGTCTTGTTATTCCCTTATTCAAAAGGAAAGTCTCTCTATTGACTTCACTGTCATAGATAACTCATTACCCCTCCCCTTGACTTGGTTAAGTCATTAGGTCCTTTAACTTAGTTAAGTTAGAACCTATATCCATTAGACTTTGCTTTAAATCTAGAAGACCTACCTCTTATTAGGAGTATCTTTCAATTAAAATTTTAAGATAGAGTGTGTTAACTCTATTTAAGAATCATTGTCATGATTACTTACTCCCCTATTGGCTTTTGTCAAAGTCAATGCCTTTGAATGTTTGAACTTAGATCTAGAGAGTTTTGTCAAACTCTATACAAACATTGTTGTGTTTGTTCCCCTTGGAGTCTTGACCATAGTCAAGTACTCCTTAACCTTAGTGAGGAGAACTATGGTTGCTCTGATTCCATCCTAGTTAGGATACCTAGGCATAAAATGCGATATCTTTGCGAGCAAACTTAGAATTATCTTTAGAGCTTTACCCTATCCTTGAACCCAATAACCCTAGCAAACAATTTTGATAACTTAGTATACACAGACACACAAAAAGTTCCTATAGAGTATTACAGATGTCTATGATGTGAAATATCTACCCTAGACATAACCAACCCCCGATCCCCGAATCTTTAGCGTTGTTGTTACATCGCGCAAAAGGTCTTTTCGTTCTTTAACATTTTTTTTTGGATAAATCAAAGCTCGGTGGTGAATTTCAATAAATTAAGATTCAAGTTAATAAATAGTTTGACATCTGATTCTCACCGCAACACTATAAATGTTTGAATACTTGATAGACTATGATGTGATTTGCACCAATAAATTGATTAAATCGAACCCAATCAAACCGATTAAAATTTCAATTAAAATTAAACATCGTAAATACATCCATAATTTCAAACAGTTTGACATTTAAGGTCCAAGCCCCACCCAAATCAATCAATGTCCACCGTAGTTAGTTATCATAAACCAAAGTTATTAAAGCCACCTTAATTATTTATTTCAATTTAATTGAGTCCTCAAGTTACTATAAGCAATGATAAAAATGGTGACAATGAGAGAGAAAGATAGAAGGGTGTGGTATGCTATGTATGATAGGGTCAGTTATTAGTTCATGTTTATGAAGATGACAATACTTGTTCCGTTATGTAGCAAACTAACCATAACAATAAGCAAGACACTCTCAAATCTTGTTTTGTTTTTGTATTTTGAAAAGAAAGATATCATATGTATGTCCCTTGCTTTGTTATGCATCACCCATCACATAGGTGTGTCTGTCTTTCCTGTCATTTTAGAGAGAGACAGCCTATGACCCTGCAACTGTAACACATCAATCCCACACGTGTGACCAAAGCTATTCTTTCTTTATTAATTAAATAAATAAACACTGACACCAACTTGTTCAATTAAAATAGAATGCCAGTGTCATTACCTCAGTCTGGCCACATAACTACTTCAATATCTCTCTCTCTCTCTCAACCCTTTAGCTGTTTTAAGTTCTTGTACTTCTCCTATACAGTAAAACTGCTTTTTCCACTTTCTTCTTCTTCTTCTTACCTTTCACTATTTGTTTCCTCTTTGCTCATCACATTAAATATTCTCTTATGTTATATAAGATGAAAGCAGCAAGTGTTACAGATAACACTCATTACCAATCTTGTTATTCTTCACCTTCAATGGGAACTGTCTATGCAAATATGGATTCTTTATCACTTAACTATGCCGCTTCTTCATCTCAAGACTTCTATGTCTCTAAGGAGGGTACTAATACTAACTGGTCTTCCCCACTTATGAGAGAATGTTATCTTACAAGAAACTTTGAAGAAAACAACCATAGTGATGATGCTGGGGAAAGTAATGGTTCTGATTCTGGTGATGGTGTTGAGGAAAACAGTGACAAAATTGACCTTAATGAAGACCCGAACCCTAATGAGAATAATAGCGGACATTCTAAACTATGTGCAAGAGGTCATTGGAGACCCGCAGAAGATTCAAAGCTCAAAGAACTTGTTGCTCTTTATGGTCCTCAGAACTGGAACCTCATTGCTGAAAAGCTACAAGGAAGATCAGGTTTGTGAACAAAACTTATGCAAAAAAAATGTTTTTTTTTTCTTTTCTTGTTTAGACAACTTATATTCTTTTCCTCTTTTTGTTGTGTCCTTCTTTTGGGTCATTTTCTTTTGTTGAGATTTTTCTCTTTTTGTATTTGAAGGTAAGAGTTGTAGGCTTAGATGGTTCAACCAGTTAGATCCAAGAATAAATAGAAGAGCTTTTAGCGAGGAAGAGGAAGAAAGACTAATGCAAGCTCATAGGATTTATGGCAACAAATGGGCTATGATTGCAAGGCTTTTCCCTGGAAGAACTGATAATGCAGTTAAGAATCACTGGCATGTTATAATGGCTAGAAAGTACAGAGAACAATCAAGTGCTTACAGGAGAAGGAAGCTGAATCAATCAGTTTACAGAAGAATAGAAGACAATGCAACAAGCTTTGTCTCAAGAGACATAGATCCAGTTTCTTCATCCTATTGTGCTTTCAACTTCCCAAATGGCAATAACATAACTAGTTTTCCTTATCCATATTTTCATGGTGGTGTTGAGTGTGGCTTAAATGGTTCATCTTCCATGAATGGTGTCAAAGAAACAATCTCAAGCTACAAACAGTCCCTTTCTCCTATTGATTTCTTTTCAGGTATGTCACTATGATGCATGCTTAGATTAGTGGTGAATATCACAAAATTAATTTTTTTATTAAATTTGGTTTGATTTGCAGGTGCGGATAGAAATTTGTATAATCAACCAATGAGTTTCTGCCATAATTATCCCCAATATATGATGCCAATGCAACAACAACAAGAAAGCAACATTCACAACATTCACAGTACTAATATTTATAGTTTCTCATCAAATTCAACCACAGCAGCGACAAAAGCACAAATATTGAACAGTGAAGTTTCACTATCATCAGTGGCAGCAGTAGAAAGAGATCAAGTTCTGATGAGTAATCCCCCTCCTCCTTCAGATGCAACTCCATTTATTGATTTTCTTGGAGTAGGAGCCACATGAATCAAAGTTACAAACCAATCATGAAATCTGCAAGTAATTTTTTCCATTGAAGCTTCTCAATATAGGTGTGGTCCAACATTAAGGAGAAGCCATTAGAGGTAAACTGAAAGGATAGCACCTTCCAATGTGAACCCTCTCCAAACTTCAATAAAATTAATGACAATAATAATAATATAACTCAATTTTATTAATATTACTTTAACTTTTCTATGTTATCTGAAATATCTTTGTCTAAAATGTTTTCTATTTTGTTTCCTTTATGTTGAATGTGTCAAGAAAGGCAAATGAAGATTGAAATGGATCATCTGATATTAAATGTGTCATGAAACATTCTCTATGCTACTTAGAATAGGGCTAATTTGTTAAGCATAAAAGGTAACTGGTTATTATTTTTTTAAAACAATTTAGGATTAAAAAAGGACTTGAATAGAATAGAATATAATGCATACGTGCAAAAGGCCAGGGAAAGGACAAGGAAATATAGTCCTAGTCCTTATTTTAAGGCTACTTTTTGGGATTATAAATATGTTTGTTTGAATTTGAAGTTTATTTGACTTTTGGGGAAGGTGATGGAAGAAATGAGAACATACTTTCTTCATGTGCCTTTGGTATGCAATAACTATTGCACAAATTCAGCAAGCAATGCATTTAAGATGGTTGAAGTGTTTAACAGCTTCACCTCCTCATCAGCACAATTTTGCTCTGGAATTAAGTTCATGACACTCACATGGATGATGTTGCATTGTACTTAACGATGGAAACTAGCTGGTTTGGTGGAACTTGACATTCAGTTTAAACTATTTGAAATCTTAGGTAGATTCAAGATATGCTGTGCATTCAAGTCATCAAAATGATATTATTAAATAAGTTAAATTTGGGTATTACTTTATTTTTTAATTACATTTATTTTTAAGTTGAGAGGATTAGCTCAACTAGTTTAAAACTAGTTTAGTCAAGTGTTTAATTAGAAACACAATATAGACAATTAATTTCTGACTATTTGCCATATAAAGACACATTTATTTTTTAATCAAGAACATTTGTAGATTGTCAAATAGGCTATCTGGCTTAAACGGACCTAGGGTTTTAGAGGACTAAAAAAAACTTTTAATATAAACTTGAATTATATTACTCAAGCTTGGCTTAGAAGGGTTGCATGATACTTAACCATAAAAAGTTATTTATTAGTTTTATTAAAAAATAAAATATTTTTTCATAATATTTATTATAAATATTGTATATAAAGTATAATATTTTAAATATAATACAAGTTTAGAATTATTTAAAATAATACACATATTTAATGTAACATAACCTAATAGAATATGATAAAACTATAATGTGAAACGTGAAATAATTTAATATTTATTTAATATTTAATGATAAAACTACCAATGTTTTAAAAAAAAGATTTGTTTAAGGGAGGCGCCGTTTAATTTAGAGTTACTCTTATAAATAAAGAGAAAGCGTCATCTTATTTAGAGTCACTCTTATGAAATAGAAGAGAGCGTCATTTGAATGACTCTAAATGGGATAACGCCTCCTCTATATGTATAAGGGTGACTCTAAACCAAACTACGTCTTCTTAAATGAATTTTATTTTTTTGAAATATGGATAGTTTGAAAAATAATATAGAAAAAGATGGTTACGTGAGTAAAAAATTTAAAACAATTCAGTATCATGTTTTGAGGCAAAATATTTACATAATATTTAAAACAGGTATGCTATGTTTTTTATATATTGCCAACACACTCACTACACCCTGTTAATTTTTTATATCTCTAGTTTGTTAATATATATTTTCAGATATATTTTAATACACGTATTTTATTTATTTTTGAGTCAGACTCAAATTGTATTAATAAATTTATTTTAAAAACATATTTTTAAAAAAATTTTAAAAATATATTTAAAAATTCGTTAAATTACCTAAGTAGTTGATCATCTTCAACCAAAAAAGAAATTGTTTCTTCATATATTTCATAGGCTAAGAAAGGAGTGTTTGATTAGGTTTTTTTCCTTTATATTTTATGCATATGTAAATTTTATAGAAGGAATCAATTAAAGCTAATTAACATTGAAGTTAATATCACACCACTGAATCAGTTTTTGATTGGGTAATTTTGTCTGAAAGCTTGAATTTGAATTTAAAATTTATATTATGTAGATCATACATACCTTTCAAAAGTTGAAGATGGTTTCTACTATTCTTGGTTTTTGGAGATGTGATAGATCTAATTGATGTATAGTAGCTACTTAGCATTGGGGTGCATATTGTTTGGAGTTCGGAGGTGCGTCAGAAGCAACTTTTGACTAATATCATAGAAATGCAAGTGGTTAAAGAAGATGAACAATACAATTTAACAGATTCTGTAAATATATTTTTGGAATTTTTCTAGAGATATATTTCTAGAATAAACTTATTAATACAATTGGGGTCTGACTTAAAAACGAATGAAATGCATATATTATCATGTATCTGGATCCCTCTCTTAGTGTTTTTGCTTCTGATGGTTTCCTTCTGATATTGATGTTGTTGGTATGGATCTTTAGGATGCTCTTGTATCTCCCTTTGGTGACAAGCTTCCTTTTTCTTGAAGTTTCGGTCTTGCATGTTTCCCCTATCTCCTAAATTAATCCTTAACCTCCATTGATTGCGCTTCTTCATCTCATCAAAGACGGTTATGTTGTGCTTTGTTCTATGACCAGATATCATATGATTCTTCACTTCATGATGTTTTCCTTTGTTCATATATTCTACATTTCAGCTTCTCAACTTCTTGTTGTTGTTGGTTTCCCGAGAATTATGGCTATCATTATTTGGTTGATTATCCCAGTTTCTGCAAGCTTCTATCTTGTAAGTATGATCTTCAACCTCCTTATTCTTACCCATATCCATGATTTTTCTGTTGTTGTTCTTCTGTATACTCATATAGTCTTTTTTTATGATGTTTGACATGCTTCGGAGATCTGTTGTTGATTCCACAATTTGAGAGATCAGGATTGTTCACTTGTATGTCCTTAGGTGTCTGTTTGCTCTCAGTATTATTTTGCTTGTCTTTTTCCTTATCTTTCGTATTATATCTGCTAACATTCTTCTTGTTATGGTTTTGCTGAATGTTGTGCTTGCAATTTTTATGCTGAGTAGTCTTGTTATTGTAATTGTCAACCTGGGTATTGTTTCCATCTAAATCCTTATTTTGTCCATGTCCATGCTTTTACTGTTGTAGTTCTTCTATAATCTTCTCTTATCTTTTTTTTCCAGGTTAGCACACATCCAAGTATTGTTGTTGTTACCACCGTCTCTATGTCCTAGAAGAAGCATGCTTCTATGATGTATATCCACCTTGATGTGTGATTCTTATGCCTTTATGCTTGGGTTTTTTAAAGACTATTTCATACTTTTAATGTGAGTGCAACTTCTCCGTTAGATGTTTTGTATGATCTCAAAACTATAAGAAAACTTAATATTTATGTGTTTCAGACGGTATCTCTAAGTTTGTGTAGCACCCTTGCATTAGAGGTCTTAGGAATAATCAAAAACCACCTCGAACTTGCCCAAAAACATGAAAAATGGATTTCTGCACAAAAATGCACTACATGTGTCGACACATACACATTTCAGACCGACACATGTAACTGAATATTAAAGCATGTAGGCTCTGACTTGGTTGGGTCAACACATGGCTATCTCGGTCGACACATACTAGAAGTTTCAATATTATGTGTCAGCATATACGTGCTTCAAGCCGACACATTTACTGTCCTAAATAAGGTTGTAGTCTCTGTTTGATTTGGGTTGACACATGCTGTTATTTTTGATAATATGTGTCGGCACATACAATGTTAAGGCCGACACCTACTATTTAAGTTGGTCAATTTTGTTCATTTCTTTTACTTCGAAAATTACCTCATTGCCATCAAACTTCCAGAACTATAAATACATTATTCATGCTTCATTCAAAACTGGTGATACCATAAAATTACCCGGCATTTGCTCATCATCTTTAACCTTCGTCCTATGCCTACACATTGATAAATCACACATAATAATCTTTTGTTGGGGTGCCAGCTAGGCGAAGGCCTGATAACGTCCACTAGTGGAAAAAAGGCTTGTTAAATCGGTTGAAAATGACTTTTTAAGTCGGGTCCAAAACTGACCTAAGAATTGCCGACATAAGAAGTTTTGACTTCTTAAGTCGAATTTGGACCTGACTTAAGAAAATTTTATTAGGTCGGTTTAACTACGTCCGACTTAATAAATCTAGGTTTTTAGAAAGCCCTTATCCAATTTGTACCCGACTTAAGAACTTCTTTTCTTAAATCAGATATATTTAACCGACCTAACAAGTTTGATTTTTTTTAATATCAATTTTTTTGGGATATCATATATATATATATATATATATATATATATATATATATATATATATATATATATATATATATATATATATATATATATATATATATATATATATATATATATATATATATATATATATATATATATATATATACATATATATATATATATATATACATATATATATATATATACATATATATACATATATATATATATACATATATATATATATATATATATATATATATATATATATATATATATATATATATATATATATATATATATATATATATATATATATATATATATATATATATATATATATATATATATATATATATATATATATATATATATATATATATATATATATATATATATATATATATATATATATATATATATATATATATATATATATATATATATATATATATATATATATAAGATAGATTCATACAACCAAAAGTTCCAATAGTTTTTCATCTGAAACAACTCCAACTTGTTGCAGGTGGTACAAAAGAGCATTATTTGTTAAAGATAGATTCATACAACCAAAAGAAAAACTTATGTTGAAGACAAAAAGTATTGTCATAACTGTTACATTTCAAAGAAAAATAGCCACAG